CTTCCCCTTTCTTTATTGTGGGTGTCGTAAGAGGCGACTAAAAGAACTTAATGGTCAAGGGATGGGTAGCAGCGTCCCACTTAAAACATCACCAAAAGCCTAATTGCAAATGGCAAGTCACCTGCTAAACGCGGTTATTACTGGCAAAACTCCCCTTATGCGAGAGGCTTATATCCAGCAGTTAACGGCTGACATGATATAGTACATCACTGCAGTGGCCAGCAAAATAATGTTCCTTCGTTTTTTTTTTTTCAATAAACAGCTTTCTATTTGCAAGCCAGTTCGAAATTTAAATATAACCTTTTATTAGTTACCTCCTTGGTAGCCATGTTTCGAAGTAAAAAGTCATTCCATTTTTAAATTACAGGACAGATATGAGTTTACATAGTAATTTATCTGGCCGCAAAACACAACAGATATGGATTTTCCTACAACTTTTGCCGGCCTCTGCCCGCATGTATCTGGCCAGTACGGCATTTTGATTTATCTCGAAGAAGATTGTCAAAATAATGCTCACATTTCCAAGTATGTTTGAGAAAATAATTTTATTGCACACCATTTAAGACTTTAAAACTTCATGATTTTTAATAAATCAATATACTGTATATAGGTAACTGAATAGTGAAACTCTCCATGCTGTCTAACGTCTACCACGTCACATACAATGACTGATTATCATCAGTATGATTATCAACAGTACAGTGACTGATCATATCAGCCTTTAATCGTCCACTGCTGAACATAAGCCTCCCCTCTGGAGAGGTTCTGGCAGTAGCTGCCACGCTTGGCAGGCGGATTAGCAAGCGCAGTCTGGCTAAAGAGGTGTTTAAGAGGAACGCCGCTTCCTTAGTCGGTTCTTACGATACCCACGGGAAATATAGGGGTGGCCTATTCTATGCTGGGACCACACGGTCATGATGTATAATTATGTATAACCTGTAGTTTTAAATTGGTGAAGTTGGATTGGACACTAATAGGTCACCAGTGGGTGACAGCAGCTGAGAATGAAAGTAAGTCAGTTAGCCCATAGCAATAAATTCTACAAGAATTTTGCAATAGTTTTTAGGAGAAACTAAGTTGAGTTCGACCTGATAATGTATACTGATAGTTATGAGGACTTTTATACATCGCTTGTGCTAACGTGAGGGACGATAGGCGAAGATGAAAAGACAGGAGCATTAGTCCATCGTCATGAATACATTTGGAAGGGGAGAAAGGGATTGTTAGTAATGGAGACTTAGAATCCCATTGCTAGCAATATACCCAGTCAGGTCGACCTCCTCGCGGTTCTCCCTGGAAACTATCATAGTTAATTCCTGATGAATTCATCATGATGGGCTAACTGATCTGTTTTCATTCTCTTTCTTTTCATTTCTTCACTTGTGCTCCGCCAGCGTATCCCGTTAGCGCAGGCGGGGTTACTATACCATTTTTACTCATAAAAAAAAAAATACATTTCGAACTCAACACGACGGTTTTTAGAGGTGACCAAGTGGAGATCGACCTGACAGGGTATATTTCTAGCAAATACAGACTTTTATACCCCATTACCAACAACCCCTTTTTCTTCTATAATCTGTATTTGTGATTTATTAAGATTCATTTAGATTGTACCTAAATGAATCTTGATTGACAAATGAATCGTGATTCATATCGTCTCGATTTTGCGGGGCCAGAGAAATAATAAAATGCTCTGATGACTCAACCGTCTATTGCATCACCGTTTAATACTTACTGCTTTGAATTATCCTAACTAACAAAAATTGTGAATTTGAATATTTTTAAAGATATTTGGAAATTTTTTAAGCACTAATGTTTAAACGGCTGAACGGATTTGAAATATCGTACAAGTCATAGTCTATTTTAAAACAGGATACTTTATACTCGTATATTGATACATATGTACATAGCCGCGGTATATAACTAGTATAAAATATTTAGATACTTTATGGGGGATCTCTTATGGTTATACGACGACGTTATATATCTTACAGCAGCTGAACAATGGAACGCAGTATTACTTTATAAATAACTAGCTGTTGCCAGCGACTTCGTCCGCGTTTCCGTCGTTTTTCGTAAAATAAGTAGCCTATGTCCTTCCTCATGGTTCTGTGGTTTTGATGTAACAGATACATTTCCCTTTACTGCTCTGCTGCTATTGATCGTTGCATAATAAAAACCTGCCCAGGAGTACGAAGAATAATTGTACTAAGTTCCGTTAAAATCCGTCGAGTAGTTTTTTAGTTTCTGTAACGAACATACAGACAGACAGTAAAAAATTTTACTGATTGCATTTTTCGCATCAGTATCGATTACTAATCACCCCCTGATAGTTATTTTAGAAATATATTTCATGTACAGAATTGACCTCTCTACAGATTTATTATAAGTATAGATAGATGTAGATTAAAGATAGGAACCAATCTCAATAAAAAAAAGACTTCAATTATGAAAAAACCAGTTATTTTAATCTAAAAACTAACCTACTGAACCGATTTCGATAAGACTTCTATGGGACCAACCTGTAAGCTTTCAGATAAAAAAAAACAATTTTCCAAATAGGTTTACAAATGACGGAGTTATAAGGTAACAAACATAAAAAATACCACCGAATTGAGATGCTCCTTTTTGAAATCAGTTGATAAAAGATAGACAATAAAAAAAAAAACTCGCCATGTTATGTAGGTGTGTAAAAAAAATCCCACGGGATTTTGATATTCCCACGTATTGTTTGAATTTGATATGCAGGCTTATCATACGAATATGTTGATCCTATGAATAATAAATACACTACATTAATGCAGGTTTGTACCTACAGAGTAATGTGCAGTGTTGCATCGTTTGCAAAAATGTGTAGCACAATACCTACATAGACGTAGGACGTCCATGAGTTAGCCCATCATGATGCATTCATCAGGAATTAACCATAATAGTTAATACCAGAGGGAGACTTTGTACAAAATTCTACTGCTTGGGTACCTCTGTCCCATTCGTGTTTCAACCGTGAAGCAGTTGTGTTTGCATGGCTGTATTTCGGTTTAAAGGGTGGGATATGGCGTGAATTTACTGGGTACAGAAGAACACCTGAGTCCTCAGGAATGGCAACGCATGGGGGGTATCATGGGCGAAACAGTATACTCTGTTATGTCCATGGTACTGCTCATGTCTATAGACGACGGTTACCACTTTCCATCAGGTGGGCCGTCAGCTTGTTTGCCATTCTAAGTTGTATAAAAAAAAGTTTCCAGGGGGAACCGCGAGATGGTTGACCTGATTGGATATATTGCTAGCAATGGGATTCTTAGTCTCCATTACTAACAATCCCTTTCTCCCACAAAGGTATGCATTGCATATGCGGTCTTGGCATAAAATAGGCCACACCTTCCTTTCCTATGAGTGTCGTAAGAGGCGACTAAAGGAACTTAATGCTAGAAGGATGAGCAGCAGCTTCCCTCTTAAAACATTTCTAAAAGCCTAACTACAGTATCTAACCCATCTGCCAAGTGTGGCAACTGCTGACAAAACTCGCCTTATGGAGAAGACTTTATATAGAATTTACATAGTAATCTGTTCTTAACATTGTTGGTTATACATTACTTAACATTGTTGGTATCCCTGTTAACTGTAATAAATGAAAAAAAAAAAAACAATATAAAGCTGTAAATTTGAGTGAAGCGCTAGAGGGTGTGACAACTGCTACAAATATCTGAACCCTTCAATATGATTTACTCGTATTAACAAATCTTTAATTGACTTATAATTTCAATTATAAAATATTATTTGTGTTGTATATCAATAATTCAATGTGTCAGAGTTTTTCTAGAATCAACCTCTTATAACTTTTTATGGAAAAAGCTATTATTATGTAGGGTACTAATATAACCTATCATCAGATGTAATGCGCCATTCACAATTCGATTGCTTGGGCACCTCTGTCCCATTCGTGTTTCAACCGTGAAGCAGTTGTGTTTGCATGACTGTGTTTCGGTTTGAAGGGTGGGATATGGCGTGAATTTACAGGGTACAGAGGAATAACACCTGAGTCCTCAGGAATGGCAACGCATGGGGGGTATCATGGGTGAAACAGTATAGTCTGCTATGTCCATGGTACTGCTCATGTCTATAGGCGACGGTTACCACTTTCCATCAGGTGGGCCGTCAGCTTGTTTGTCATTCTAAGTTGCATAAAAAAAAAAAAAAAAAAAAAAAAAAAAAACATGATTAATTTGTGTTATTCCTTATTTGATAAATAATAATTTGCTTTCAATATTGTACTAACAGTGGGGTGGATTCTGTAGCTCCATTTATATAAACCAACCTATTAAAAAAGTGCCATTGACGTTTTTAATGGCACTCTCCAATGACAAAAAAAATAATATCACCAGGTATCGGCTGTACACTTTCACTCCCAACTACCAAAGTACCAAGTCGAACTTATATGCATTTTTATTCTGTCCCTATAGCACCCTTCTTGGTTCCAGATACCCTTGGGAGGCGACCGAGCAGAGGCTTCTTTTAAGGCTGTTACTAAATAATTTATTTGACTAGATATTTTATCATGAAAAAATTTACTTTAATTGTAGCTAAAAAACAATTAAAAACTAAATTACTCCTTATCCTTTCAGATCATTTTCCAAATTAATTTATGAATGATGGAGTAATGATAATAATAATAATGATAATTAACATAACAAAATACAATTGAATTTAAAACCTTCACCTTTTTTAAGTTTGTTAAAAAATGCATGTAAGGCAGTTTTATTATGTTTACTGTCCAATTATACTATTTACTGATGATACTTTAATATTTTCAGTATCAATAACTTTGATAATTGTTGAAATCCATCTGACTCTACATAGGATCTACATCCAACTTCTACATGGGACAGTGACAGTCACAGGATAATCAGTTTCTACTCTTCCACTATAGCTATGGCAAAAAAATTAGCAGGATTTTGTTGTAACTAAAATCTTTTCAATTTAGCAGTAGGAAATAAATCTTTTCAATTTTTACAAACTTACATATATTTTTAAATAAAGCATACATAAGGTTTTACAAAGCCATCCCCCTAATATAATGGTAGCGATGACGCCTTTCATCTTGCAGCTGCTCTATCCTGGATGCAGCATCGTTTTCACGGCAAACACCACAGAACACACTCGTTATAATGTGGAATGGACTGCGATAATACAATTTTGTATTCTTGAGGCTCTTGTTCTTTTTGTGACATTGGACATGTAGAAATATCTCAAGTATCATTAGCAACATGGACGCAAGATTGGGAAATAATGCTGCAGCCGGTATTAAGAACAATCTATAACTGAAGGTGTGGGAGCCAGCTATTATATTCGCCTTGAGGGACCGGAATTTTCTTGTGTTAGTCACATACCCTTTAGTAAATTTAATGGGCTCAATTTTGTTTTGTGGTCTCGCATTAGTGACTCGCATAGACATGGAATGAGTAGTTTGTGGCAGCACAGGCTCTCCGGTCTCATTGTTGACATGGTGAGTTATAATTTCACCGGTCTCGTCATCGCAACAGAATCTTCGTATCCTCGGCATTACGTGGTGGCTCCACGTCGACGTATTACCTAAAAAATTGAAGCAATGGTAAGCTTTATTTACATGTCATTTATCTACAATACATAGTATTTTTTTTTTATAAAGAACTTAATAAAAACACTTAATTTTTATTCGATTACTTTTATCTCAAATTAAAAAGGAAGAGAGAATAATGGAATAAAAATTATTATCATAATACAAACCTTTTATTTATAAAATTCTAAATAAATAAAATGAAAATGGTATAAGTATAAAGTAAGGAATATAGTGTACCAACAAAACAGTACATTTGCCAGAAAGAAAAAATAAAATGATCAGAACACATCACCATATTTGTTATCTATCCTAGGTACATTAAAAAAAAAACAAAAAATTAATTTCTTGTTCTTAGTTGAAAACATTTTTGGTTTTATAAACGATAAAAAGTTTAAATCAAGCATAGATACTGTTATAAACTCTTTGCTACTTTTTTTTTAAATGTATGTTTTTTATGACGTTCATTATCATCGAATTTAGGTAATTAAAGAATTTACCTACTTAACCTTTACTGCTTCTAATTTGTAAAATTTGACGATGAATGTAAACAAAATGAACGCAGGCCGACAGTTGTATTAAATGATCATGTTGCATGCGTTGTAACTGCAGGAATGTTATAGTCTTTGCTACTCTTTTCTGAATATATGTTCTTAAGAATAAAGATTTGTATCATAAAAGTATTAAATTATTATGATATTATAACAGTCGAGGTTGAGTACAGTACTAGCAAGCATAGTCATCACGATTCTCGCGCCGTTAACAACATCACGTAAACTTAGTCTATCGTTGCCAAAGATTTTCCTTGTTCTTATGTCGCCGTGTAGGTACAGTTAAAGTTTCATCCCAATCATCTGGACGAGTGGCGGTCTTCCACCGTGCGTTTTTTAAGGCACTTTCTTCCACACATAACTATTCTTTGGAATCAACTTTCAGCAACAGTATTTCCGAACCGATACGACAACATAACCTACAAGAAAAGAGTATATTCCTTTTTTAAAGGCCGGCAGCACACCTGCAATGCCGCTGGTGTTATGGGTGATCATGGGCGGCGGTAGTCACTTACCATCAGGTGAGCCGCATGCTCGTTTGCCCCCTGTGTTGTAAAAAAAAAAAAACGTAAGAGAGAACTCCGCCGCACATGAGGCCGCACCCACTGTTCACCGGTCAAGTGTGAACTCAACTACCTCGCTGCAAAGCTGTTGGAAGGGGTACGGGACTGACGTGGTTTCTCCTAGGAGGGCATTATCTCCTGCGCAGGAGAGGACGACGTCAATCTCTACACGCTTAACCAACAACTTACAAAAGCACGAACTCCCGCCTGCCAGTTGCTCGATGAGATGGGAAGACGTCGTTACGCAGTCATTAACCGAGTAGAAATTCTAGTATGCCACCTGGAGAGGCAATTTACGGCCAATCCGGCCGCCAACAATGCACCTAGCACTGTCATCGAGCACCATGAGCATGTGCGTCGCGTTAGCGAGTTCACAAAACTCAAATTCGTCTCCCCCGGCGAGGTTACACGCATCATTGAGTGCCTACACAGGTACAAAGCGTCCGAAGCGGGCCGCATACCGACCACAGCACTCGTCTAACTACCCCGTAGAGGCTTAGTTGTATGACTAAGTTTTACAACGAAATACTCAGGCCATTTCCCCAATGAGTGATAGTTAGGCAAATTCATACGCCTTCCGAAACCCGGGAAAGACAAAGCTTCCCGGTCAGTTATCGGCCGATCACACTACTCCCGCATGTAACTAAAACCTTCGAGCGCACGCTGTTCCGCCGCCTTTACCCACATCACAATCCGCGAGTAGAGCAGTTTGGATTCCGGACCGACAATTCAACAACATTCCAACTTGTACGCGTGTTGCACTACTTGGTCGTCGAAAATAACCGCAGTCGATACGCAGCCAGTATATTCGATATAGAGAAAGCGTTTGACCGCGTGTCGACAGACTCCGAAACCAACACGCCACAATAAGCCCACGTACGGGTCATAAACAAATTTCTACACGGCTGGAGCTTTTGTTTCGGTCGAAGGCGTGGACTCTGCCATCTACTCGATTACCGCTGGAGTACTGTAGGGCAGTTGCATTTCGCCAGTGCTCTACGCGACTTTGAGTGACAAGCTCTTCGAGGGAGAGCGCGATGTTGTCTTTGCTCTTTTTGCAGATGACAGTGCATTTTTCATGTCGAGTTGTGCCAATATCGCTACTCTTAAGATGCAACGACTGCTGGACCGCCTCCCTGAGTGGCTAGATAAATGGTGTACCACCGTTAACGTGGAAAAACGGTTGTGGCTACTGACCCATAAAATAGGAACACTCAGTGAGTTTCCTCGGGGTCGAGATAGACCAGATGATGCCTCAGATAAATTGCGTAGTCATACAGGCTAAGACCGCTTGGGCCATACTACATACTATACGTCAGAAATGACGTAATTGCTCGCGATCTCAAAATCCCTAGTGTTGAGAATTTCGTCCGCTGGCTGGCTCGCACTATGTTCAGCCAAGCGGACAACGACTACCACTCCCACTTTACGCACTTAGCTCCACTCCATTAGCGTCCTCCGAACGTGACACGCGCATTGCCGCAAGATCTCCTCACGCACTGCACACGCTGCGCACAGCAGGTCCCACGCAGGGTTAGCCAGCCCGGCACGATTCACGACATTAATAAACCAATTATTACTTATTTTCCCACATCTTCCCACTAGCTGGTACTATTTACAATAATGCCGGCTCAGCCTATCGGGCCCAAAATTAGTGAAGCCTAGGCGGCAGCCTGCGCAGATGATGCTACCGCTGTTGCTGCTGCTGATAATGATCCATATCTGCGTCTCCGTAAGAAGACGTAGACGACCCAGCTGCTGCACGAGGTCGTTTTGGTATTGTAATAACGTAGTTCATGTATATCTTGATTCCCTCTTACTTGTATTTAAGTATAAGGCACAACTCTAGGACTCGTGAAGTATCCTAACTGGTAAGTTTTCTATTTTATTTCAACATTTACATCTCAGTTCGTCATTCATTCATTTTTACGGGTCAGTATTTAAATACAGGGTGGCCCAAAAGTCCTTAGAAAAGTAAAATTTGAATTAAACGAAAACGGCGCGCGTGAGCGGTGCAGGGGAAGCGGGGGCAGTAACTTCGGTTTCTGGGAATTTAGTCACGATGGAGCGTTTCACCGGAGCGGACCGTGCGTTTTGTGTGCGTGAGTTTTATCAAAACAACAATTCGGCAACCGTTGCGAGGCGTAAATTTCGAGAACACAAAGGTTTACACAACTTTGATGACACCCCAGCTCTCCAAACGATTAAGAATTGGGTTGCTAAGTTCGAGGAGACCGGTTCGACGTTAGATAAACCGCGGTTGGGTCGCCCAAGGACATCACGTACGGAACAAAACATCGGCACAGTGGCACAATCTATTCATGAAAATCCTACACAGTCAACTCGTAAGCGTTCCAGTGCATTAAACGTATCCAGGACATTGTTACAACGGATTTTAAAGAAAGATTTACTTATGCACCCTTACAAAATTCAGTTGGTGCAAGAATTAAATGAAACTGATGCTATTCAGAGAGTGAATTATGCTAATGAAATGTTTAATCGGTTTACTTCGTTCAATAACATAATGTTCTCTGATGAGGCACACTTTCACATTAACGGACATGTTAGTAAACAAAATTGCCGCTATTGGAGCCCGACTAATCCAAAACTTAAGCACCAGAAGCCCTTACATAGCCCTAAAGTTACAGTTTGGGCCGCTATGTCAGCCCATGGCATCATAGGGCCTTACTTTTTTGAGGACGGCAGAGGGCGTGCTGTTACTGTTATTTCGGAGCGATATGTGGCCATGATCGAGGAGTTTTTCACACAAAAATTGCAAAACTTTCCAGGCTTTAATGCCCGAACATGGTTTCAACAGGATGGAGCAACTTCCCACACCTCCAATACTGCTATGCCCGTTATCCGTCAACTTTTTCCAAACAAAGTTATCTCTAAGAGAGGAGACATTTCCTGGCCACCACGTAGCCCGGATCTGACTCCAATGGATTTTTTTTTGTAGGGTTACCTTAAGGCAACGTAACACGTTAAAGTGTACGACTCTAACCCGCGGTCAATTAATGACCTAAAAGAAAACATCCGCAGAGAAATGGCAAGCATTTCAGCAGTGACGTGCCGCGCAGTCATCGACAATTTCAGAAGGCGTTTGCAAGAGTGCCGTGACTGTAACGGATTACATTTGGACGACGTTATTTACAAAAAATAATTCCCGTTTTTCTAGCTATATTTACAAATAAAAATATTATTCATAGTGTAATTAGTTTTATTTTAATTAATTTTTTTCATTACTAAGGACTTATGGGCCACCCTGTATATACAAAACAGCGGTTCAGATAATATTATAGTAAATCTTCCCCTTAACTTAGAATACGCGAGTCACAAATAATTTCTTTTTATAGGTGACAAAAAAAGGATCTGCTTTTCATTATTCAATGAGTGATAATTGGCGAGGGTGAAAGCAGGTCAGTTAGCCGGTCATGACAAATTCAATAATTAACCTCCAGATTTCCAGAGTTAAAAACGCGAGGTCAATCTGATGGGGTATATTGCTAGGAATAAGATTATTAGACTCAACAACCTCATTGCATGTGTGGGCGAAAGGACTGTATGCTGGTATGGAAACACGGTGTTTTAGAAAGATAATATAATTATATAAAAAATATACATAGCAAACCAACGGAGTAAAAAAAGCGAAGGCAAAAACAAAACCGAAACTGACACAGACTTCAAATTATAAAAAGAACATCTTTTTAATAAAATTTAAAAAGAAACTAAAAAGGTGCGTCGTGCACAGCATGTATTGACGAAGCTTATTGTTATCTCTTTAAGTAGAATATATATATTATCCTTAGATTTAGTACGGATAGAATTGAATACCTGAATTAGAACACCTCAAAAAATAATTAAATATTTTAGTAATGACACTCCTAATAAACACACAACTGATTTTCTTGTAATATATATTGTAAGTTTAGATGACCAAAAAATGTAGCCCAAGTACGACGACCTTTTTAGAAAATAATATTTATGGGAATCAATAAAACATTACATTGTTTTGGTGTGGCAGAATGAGAGATTAAATATTCTACTATTAGGTAAAACGGTTAATATGACTATTAACTGTATATGAAGTCAGTAATATCTATTTTTTGTAGTCCAAGTCTCATTTCTAGTTTCGCCCCAATTGTGAATACCACGCCATCTCGTGCATTCTATTAACCCTGGTCTACGATATTTGACATTTAGAATATTTAAAAATAAAAATAATAAAATATGGCAACAGTAAACTGCGACCTGTGTGTTAAGTCTTTAAGACAAGACTTTAGTCTTTTTTCTGCTGTACTATTATAAAATGTCTTATGTAGCGATTTCCTGCTGATGTAATTAAATGGTAAAATGACACGTTTATTTTATTTTTTTCAATTAATTACAACAAATCTTTAATATTCAATATTAAATGTGTGTTTCAAATGAGGTGAACCTTAAATTACAGTTGTTTATAGTGTTTATGTACGTGATTGTACTAGTAGTAACTTAGCGTTTTCCATTGTGGATATTTACTTATTTCGGACTAATTAATTGTTGTACGTTGAATTATAGTAGTGACATGGTTACATCGTAACAGGTAAATGTAATGTTTTGTTTGTAATTGTTACTGATGGCCACAAAGCTTTTTGTTTATCTCTTGTTTCTGTGCGCTTAGTAACGTAACTTTCCATTGCTGTAAACCTATTGACTTATTATTTTATACCAGTTCCGAGAGTATATTTATTATACAAATAAAGAGAATATGATCTATTTCTTAATAGAAAGAAATTATAACGTATTTAATTCATGGCACTATTTCTTGGTAGTTTTTTGTTTTCACAATAAGTAATTGCATATTATTCAGTAGTTATGGTTATATAGTTATAGTATATTTTAATCTCTATATGTATATTATATAGAGAAGATTAAAATATGCTATTACAAAATTATAACCTATTTCCTTGGAGGTTGTTTTGTTTGATAGGTTTTTTTAATAGATAAGAATGGAATGGTAACCCAGCCTGTGCTAACGGTATACGCGCTATTCAGCATGATGGTTTCCAGGGGGCACCATGTGGAGGCCGACCTGACAGGGTATATTGTTAGTAATGGGACTGGTAGTTTGCATTACTAACAATCCTTTCCCCGTGTTTGATAGGTCGACAACCGCAGTTAGGCTTTGGTGATGCTTTAAGAGTTATGCTGCTGTCCATCCCTGAACCATTAAATTTCTTCAGTCGTGTCTGATGACTCACATGAAAAGAAAGGGGTGGCCCATTCTATGTCGGAACTACATGGCAATAACTATACATGATCTGATTTATCTTCATATTTAGTAATCTTTCAAATTTATTATTGATGAAAGCTCCCAGTTTGATTATTTCTAATGCCTTGAACGATTATCCAATTATCGACATATTTCAATAAATATACACAAAATAATATTAAACTATATATATAATCCTTCTTCTTGAATCATTCTATCTATTGATGAAAACTGCATTAAAATCCATTGCATAGATTTAAACATTAGTGAGGTTCCTACTTGTTCTATCACAACAAAACTTGGTAAACTACTTATGAATGATCTAAGTAACATTTTGGTGACGGGTTTTGTAATATTTGTATGCCCAATAATGGTGGAACTTAGCAATCTTAATTTTGTGTATAATATCATGTAATGTATTTAGCCTATGTTTGTGCATATAAATAATTGACTTGTACGGAGAAAATTCACCTTAATGCTTGCCAAGAGATTTTTCATTTCCGTGATGACCTGCCCAAACATGTCATAACTCATATACAAATATTGCTGCTTCATGTATTTTTACCAGACTTATCAATTTACTGTTGTAAATTTTTTCTTCAGATGTTTAGTTTCATATTGTCAGAATGTAGAAACACAAATATTGAAATGAGAGATTTCCTAAAACAATTTGCAATATTTATAACTGATTATTTAACAAGTTCTCTAATAGCATTTTAAAATGTTACTCATACAACATATTTCTTAAGACTATTATGATAAATTACAATCATAGTCAAATACATTCATACTCAAAACTATTAATACTAATCTTATCTCAATATACACCATTGTATACTGCACTATTGTACTCAAAGTTAGCAAGTTGGACCTTAATTACACTTCTCAAAAAAAAGATGAAAGTTTGAATATCTTATTTCTTTTATCTGTTTTAGTAAATGTATATATACACATTATAAACAATATGCATTGTCTGTTATCTATTCAGTATAAGCACAATACAGACGCTTTACCTGTGTGATCAATGTATAGTCTTCTGTGTTCATTTGGGATATAACTTACCCAGAATGTACCAAAGTTTATTAAAATCCATTCAGGCGTTTAAATGTCACTGAATAACAACTATCATTTTTACAATTTTTTACGTTTATAATATTAGTATTTATTTATATTTTACACTAATTGTATAGATACTTCTTTTCTATTGCATATCCATTCTGTGCATACAATAACATATAGGCTTCCTCTAGCTTTTCCCACTTATCCCTATTTTGAGCTATTCTTAATCACAATGGTCTGTGGGAAAATACATATATTCTTAGTAATGGTGTCTAAGAGACCCATCACTAGTAATATACCCTCTAGGACGATATATATATATATCTATATATATATAGATCATCTTTCATGCAGTTCCTGTTAAAAACTATCATGGTTAATCATGGAACAGTTCGTCACAATGACCCAAAAGCTTTGCTTTCTTCGTTACCTATTACTCTAACACATACAGGGAATAGTATCCTTGCCTGCACTGTCATTATACAAAGGATTCCATTCCAAATTCCTGGAAAACCATTCCATTTCTACCTATTAAAATATTTGTACTAATTGGTACTTTTTTCATTGGTATTGTTGTCTTTTGGCAATATTTTTATTTTGTGCAAATGTTAAAAATGGCACCTATTACATATTACATCAATAACTGTATAAGACATTTATTCAATGTTGTACCTATCCACTTGAATTTTGATTCTTATAATAAGTAGTTATATCTATGTTGCGCATGAGTTTTATTTCTAATCTGATTGCCATATCCCTTAAACTGCTATATTATAAAAATTTTAATACTCAATACCCTTAATAATAAATTGCAGTTGTCAAGTATAAATATTAGTAGGATAGTTAATTTTAAACTTTTCTTCTCATTATATGAACATTATATTAATATATTCAGAGATATTAATATCTCTAAATGTTACTCTCAACTTCCATTATTATAGGTTATTACAGTATGTTGCTAGTTTAACTGATCTGGTATCAAATAAATTTATTATAATGTTTCTTTTTTTTTTGCAGTTTATAAATTTTATCAATCCATAGAGCAACAACATCCATAAGAGCTACCAACATGGGTAAAGAGTAAGTATCAAAAAGTTTTTATTACAATATATGTAAGCAGTAAAGCTGTATTATTAACTTTTTTCTAGAAATGACATTTTCATGTCATGTTCGAGGTATCTTGCTTTGTGTATACAATTTTAATCATTAATATGACATAATTATCAATGAATGGACAAAAGTCCTAACAACATGAGCAATTCTAATTTAACAGTCAATATATTGATTGAACTAATAAATAAAAATAAATTAAAGACAAGGTAACAACTAAATGGGTGATATATGTGGTCATCCAATTTTTGTTCTCTATGCTCCTTTTTAAAAGGAAATTATACTGATCTATAATGTTGCAGAGTTGTTCATTATGTTGTAGAAGGAACTAAAAACCAAGAAACTACAATTGAGTACACTTCAGTAAGTATATATGTTAAGATATGTTAATTTCTTTGTTTCAGAATAACATTAGAAGCAGATAGGTTTGTGTACTGTGATAGTCTAAAAGATGAAGACCGGAAGAAAAGAAAGAAACACAAAAAACGTAGACGTGAGTCTGTTGATGAGTATGAGAAAGGTTATAAAAAGAGGAAGAAGTCCAGAAAGGACAAATATAAAAGTCCAGACCCAGAGAGTGAAACATCACTTTCTGACGTTGAAGATTTAATAAAAAAATCTCATCAATGTAAACAACAAAATCACAAAGATTCCTCTGTAGATTCCTCCCTAACAGAGTCAGAGGCTAAACTGAAAGCAGACAATGGTGACACGACCATTATTAAGTCAAGAAGCAGTAGCAATGGTAGAAGTAGTCACACGAAGAAGTCTCATGATAAAGACCATTCATTAGACGTCATAACATCTAATTCTGAGACAGAGAATTATCAAGATGATTGTGCTAGTCCAGAACTTACGATGATAGAAGATGATCTAAACTTAGAAGATCTAATGAAGCAAAAAGAACTATTACAGGCACGTTTAGTGGCTTATTATTCTGATAAAAGTGATGGTGAAACGGAACAGCCGGCAAACAATATTTATATAAATGTTGAGAAGTCTCCATCACATAAAAAGAAAAAAGATCGTGATCATGATAATAAACGGAGCAGTAGACACACGTCTATTAAAGACAGATCATCAGAACGTGATAGACATAAGTCTAAACGATACGAGGAAGATTTAAGACAAATCATAAATAGAGAGTGTAGGAAGGAAATGGAAAAGGAGAGGGAGTACCGTGAAAGAAAAGAAAGGGAACGACGTAAGCTACTGGAGGCTGAACGGGAAAGAGAAAGAGAACGCGATAAAGAGAGAGAGCGTGAACGAGAGAAAGAGAGAGAGCGGAAACGAGAAAGAGATCGTGAGAGAGATATGGAGAGGCGATCTGCAGAGTTGAAAAGGAGAGAACGAGACCCTCGAACACGTCAGACGCGAGACCGGTCACCAATAGTGCGTCGTGATCGCGACCGTAGTGGCGATCGGGACCGCCATAGGAGCACCGACCGCAGCCGGTTCAGGAGTCGCGACCGCAGCCGGGGCCGCAGTCGAGATCGCGAACGCTCACGTGATAGAAACCACAGGGGAACCCACAAAGATCAGGTAGGGTCGATTTTTTATTAGCATTGTTCTGCAGAGATTTTGAGATACCTAATACATATTAATAATGTAATGAAATTGAACAATGCGAATAATAAACACGTAAAGTATAAAATTTTTAAAGCAATAAATATCGATTGGGAGCTCTTGTAAAAATAAAATATAGCGTACTAATAAAATTATAAAAATGTGAAAGCTAAAATATACATATTATTTTTCAGAATGCAATGAATGAAGTGGCAGAAATAGTTCCAAGCTCAAGTGACGAAGAATTGAACTTGGAAATAAATACAGATGATGATGAAGAGACAGAGGAGCAGATTATCGAAAAGAGAAGAAAAGAGAGGGAACAACTTATGAAGGTAAGTACTATTTATATAAATATCTTGAAATTGAAATTTATCATTGTATATTAGAAGTAACTATTTTCTTTTTTTGTTTGATTATTTTAGAAGCTCGGTGGTATTACCAATGGCCCATTGGAACAACAACAACAGCAGGTGGCAGCCTCTACCTCACCGGATGTAAAGCCGGACAGTAAACCAGAAACGATCTCTGATGCTAAGAAGGATAAATGTGAGACAAAAGAAGGCGACAAAGACAAGACCACAAATTCAGACTCCAAAAGCGATTTAAGCGGGCTGGTCAGGAATATAGAGAATGAGCCCAGAACTAACATCAAACTGGAGAAATCACTGAAGAGCAAGGCGTGGGATATGTTTGCTGATCAGGACAACTTTAGTGTTGATGTAAGTATTGTTTATAATATTAATTCCGGAATATCTCTAGTTTTGATAGTAACAAGCCACTTTTCAACCGAGTTCAGAAAGAAGGTAATTTGTTTTTTTTAACGTTTGTTACTCTATCATTTCTAAACAGATTTAAAAATTCTTTCTTTCTAGTTGAAAGGATTTACAACTTTTAAATTGGTTCCATAGAATTTTTTATCAAAGTCGGTTTTTATAGTTTTTAGATTTCATTTCATTTCATTTCAAAATAACTAGTTTTATCACAATTGAAGTCGGTTTTTTTGTGGGACTGGGATTTTCGAAATACTCATAGAAATTATTATTGTTAACGAATAAATATTCATTCGCCCTTTGTCACGTTGGATTAAAAATTTCATTGTAATTACAGACGCCCACAGCTGGAAAACCAAGAAGTAAAAATGCCTTAGAGAACCCTTCATTGACAGACAATTGGGATGATGCTGAAGGATACTACAGGTATGTAAGATTTTTTATTTATATAACAATTGATACTTTTATTGCTTTAAACTACATTATAAATGTACTACATGTTTTATTAGTGCAATAGAAAATAACTTTTGCCACAATTTGGCATATATTTCATTAATTGTAACAAATACGTGAATTTTCTCTCGATAACAGTACAAAACTACACTTAATATTTTACTAGACTCAAGGTTGGACCCAGATCGAACCATCATAGCCATAGTAAGAATGTGGCATTAATATCTTTTATGTACAGGGTGCGAATCGGTGAGACTCTGGACAACCGGTACAATGTGTACGGTTACACCGGCCAAGGCGTGTTCTCTAACGTGGTGCGGGCGCGTGACCAGGCGCGCGGCAACACCGATGTAGCCGTCAAGATCATCAGGAATAATGAGATAATGTAAGTACACTTTTTAAACTACTTTCAGTTTCATTTTTGCGCCATCTAGAGTAGACAGACTAAACATTTAACATGTGCAGATGTGTACATTGTCTGCTTATAATTTTATATTTGTAAGAAAATTGAAATAGTTAAAATGTTTACATTCATTCCCACCATTTGTATATAATTCAACTTATTAAACAATTTACAGGCATAAAACCGGTCTCCGTGAGCTAGAAATTCTGAAACGTTTGAACGACGCCGACCCCGACGACAAGTTCCACTGTTTGCGCCTGTTCCGGCATTTCTTCCACAAGCGGCACCTGTGCATGGTGATGGAGCCCCTGTCCATGAACCTCAGGGAGGTCCTGAAGAAGTACGGCAAGAATAGCGGAATACACATCAAGGCGGTCAGAAGTTATACGCAGCAAATGTTATTGGCGCTCAAACTGTTAAAGAAAACCGGAATTTTACACGCCGGTAAGTTCTTATACATCATTTTATTTTATTTGTTTTTATTTTATTTGAATTATGCATACATTTTCATTGAATTATGAACTTTCAACGATAATAAATTTTAACTTCTGAGATGGTTCTACAACGGTTATTTTATCTCACTGATGAATTATAAAAAAGTTATATTTCTTCCTAAGTCACTTTAAAACTTACTTTCAGTATATTATTTTTATTGTTTTTCGATAACGCTTATAATCCTTTGTCTATTATGTTATAATGCAATTTTTGAATTTTTATTCACAGATATCAAACCAGACAATATACTCGTTAATGATAGTAAGCTAATGCTAAAACTATGTGACTTCGGTTCGGCCTCGCATGTAACGGAAAACGAAATCACACCATACTTGGTCTCAAGATTCTACCGGGCACCAGAGATTATTCTCGGCTCTACCTACGACCATGGCATAGACATGTGGTCCACAGCGTGCACTGTATATGAACTATCCACCGGCAAAATAATGTTCAGTGGAAAATCTAACAATGAGATGCTAAAATATTTCATGGATTTGAAAGGAAAGATACCAAATAAAATCATAAAGAGGGGACACTTCAAGGAGCAACACTTTGATGCAAATTGCAACTTTTTGTATCATGAGCTGGACAAAGTAACTGAACGGGTAAGTAGTATTTACTTGTTATAATATAGATTTGATTTTTCTGGTTTCAGGTTGCATTTCTACTATTTTTTATAACCGCTTTTAATCTTTACATTTACAGGAGAAAGTGGTTATTATGTCAAGTATAAAGCCGACGAGAGACATGCAATCAGAGTTGGCTCCACCACATCATCGTCTACCACAGCAAGAGGCCAAGAAGATAACGCAACTCAAAGACTTACTCGAGCGAATGCTGATGCTTGATCCTGCCAAGCGCGCCTCCGTAAACCACTGCCTCGCGCATCCCTTCATCCAGGAGAAAATATAGTTTATAGCTCACGACCATAGAGCGGCGCCATAGACGAGCTGTGTACATACAATGTATTTTTTTATGCAACTATGGTGATGCTTTTGGTCATGCATAAATAGTGCCCCTTTAGCTAGTTTTTATAACAAGGGTGCGTTTGTCATATTGTATTAATCTAGAATACTTCAAACACTGTTTTATCTATTTACAATGATATAAATTTATGTTTAAAAGTAACTTTTACTTTGAAAATACATATGTAAAATCAAAATAATTGTTATTTTGAATGAAATCTTTTAATAAATTAAGATATGTACATTTATTTGTTTTAATTCACTTGGTAATCTAGTTACTTTCAACAAATTGAGCCAATACAGAAGGCTCATTATATATTAACTTAATAATAGCTATTAACAGTCAAGGGGAAGCAAAAATGCTAAGTTTAAGCTAGCTGGGCACTAGTGAGGGATGACAGGTGAGGATGTAAAGGCGGGACTTTATATATATATATATATAGGAGACTAAATAAAAAGATTTTCAGTTCGATCTTCAGGAATACAATTATGAAGACCACGTACAATGTTCTTCTATAGCTCTTATTGAAACCCTTCATAATTATCTTCCGTTTACAGACATCATTTAGTTACAGTTTAATTATAGGTATATGTATATGGTTTTATATGACGCGAATAATGACCAGAGAGCTAAAAATTCACCCAAAACTGTACCTATAATTTTTAAATGGTTCTCGAATAGCTTGAAAACAGCAAGGCACCGTGCGAGGATGACTTTACGTCAGAACTTTTGAGAGATAAATCCCAAAATATAATTAAAAGTTTAAAACTCTTTATTTAAAGGAACTAATAAAACAATAATTTATAGTCGGTAATTATCTTCAATTTTAACCATAAATATAATTTAATTATAATTAATTATTTTAAAAAATTTGCGCCATTTTTTAGTGTTGCAAGTATTCATTTCTTTTTTTTTGTTATTAGTCGAGGTGCCCATGATGGAAAATTTTTGCTTAATATAGGCTAGGAACGGTAACATAGAATTATAGAAAAAATAAAAAACCTATTTAAAGTGTCGTATACTTAACAGTGATTTAAATGAATGACGGAATAGATGAAGCAATCAGTCCACCATTCCTTAATACTGACTAAACTTAATGTTTTTTTTACAGTTATCTCTTCTTTCTTGTAACGGATCATCTTATGAATATTTAACCACCCAACCTAAACTTATTTGGATAATTTCTAAAGACTTGTATACATAAACCTTAGATTGTATAGATAGTGTCTCCATAAAATTATTAAAAAAAAGCGGGTCAATTGTTTCATATAATTGTGTACGAGACAATGTTACTAAATTACAAATTACTTTAGATTCAGGTAAATAGGTTACGGTCGTAACCTAAAATATTATTAGAATGAAATAATTCTTTATAATATTAACTTTATTTATATATTTAATTATATTATTTTTATTGAAATTTATGGATAGAGACATATAGTAGTATAACACAAACTCCCTTCTTCATAAAAACCGAAACCTACAAATGTATTTTAACTATTACACTATTTTTTCATAGTCTTTCAAATTGGTAATTTGATCTAAAGGAAAGAGAGAAAACAGTCCAATAAGCTAAAATAGTTTTATGAGCGGTTTGACGTTTATATGAATAAGGGAATAAGAATTTATTAATATCAATACGTTGTTGTTTTCATTTTCACCAGTCATCCTTCACTAGCTAATACTCTTTGCACCGGTGGGGTTACCATTTTATTATAATCGATTAAAAAAAATCTTGTTCAAGTTTCGTGAATGATCATTGTATGAATGATTATTTGCTCTGTTATCGCTAGTCTTTCTAATCTGTCGTGATGGCTGTCAACGACCATGGGCAAGATTATTGACAAAATTTAAAATATTTCTTTCACTTTTCTTTTGATTATTTTTTATCTAGATACAATTTCAAATTGTGTTGGTATATATTTTTTATATTACATAAATGTACGTGGCGCTCTTGTTAGCAGATAAAATTTTATTTGTTTTAATTACAGACATAGAAGTTTGGGTTATGTTTCCTTGTCTACAATGTAAAATTTATAGAAATTATATAACGAGCTCATGTTTTAATAAACATTAAATAGTTCATTTTGATTGTCTGATTCCTATACTATTCATAAATACTTGCGAGCTCGACGTCTTCTTAGGAATAAGCTATATTCAGTAATCATTACTTGCAATGTTGCTTTTTAACTTCTTTATTTTAACGTGGTCTTTATTTTTTATTATTTATATTTTAAAGTAGCAAATATTATATTTGAATTTATATTTAATAATAATATAAGTAGCACACAATCACACCAAACACTGGTCTTCAAGCGAGCTCACCATTTGTTATGAATAACTAGGCAGCATGGGCACAATTAATATAATTCACCAGTGGGACCTGATCTTTCAAATAGGCGTATATCTACTCAGACAAGTTTCGCTTGCATTCTGAGGTGGGCACAGCCTACCCGGGCCTCCCATGTGCTTATGCTAGGTAGTGGACATGTGTGGGCACAACTCAAAACATCTAGGATCGAGTTAATTTTAAATCATTGTTTCTTTAATTTTGCTCAACCAAGAATTAAACTCTGAGGATAATTATGCAATGTTGCACACATTGTACCATGATAAAGAAAATAAAAAGTCATATTTTCTACTATAATATAATTATTATCTGTTTCCTATGATTAATAAAAAAAAAAAAAACTATTAAATTGAACGAAATATTAAATTGATAATGTATTTTTTTATGCAACTTAGAATGGCGAACAAGCTGACGGTCCACCTGATGGAAAATGGTAACTATTGCCTATAGACATGACATAGTTTCGCTCATGATACTCCCCATGTGTTGCCATTCCTGAGGACTTAGATGTTATTTCTCTGTACCCTTATTCCTCTCTATTTTAAGTTAAGTGCTGATATACATATTGATATACATTAATGAATTACAATAACTTATAGATTCAATTTTATAATCTCTATGAGAATAAATAAAAATCAATTTACAATTTTAGTTAAATAATATTATTTGTATAGTTAGACCATGAAAGTTAACATAATATAGTAAATAATATATAAAACCTTGCAGAATGTCATCATCAGAACACTTGTTCCGAGTGCGACGGTTGTACAAGTTGATATTCCGTGTTCACCGTGCACTGCCTCCTGAACTGAGGATCTTAGGAGATAATTATGCCAGGGATGAGTTCAAACGACATAAAGACTGCAACCCGGAGGAGGCTCGAATATTCCTAAGTGAATGGACGGTGAGTAATTGAAATTATTATCATGGTAGTCAATATTGATTGGTAACCTGATCTGTATATAACTCACTGGTGCCCCACCAGTATATACTGATATACTGGCATGAATGATGTACAAGGTGAACCAAACAAATTTAACAATAACAAATATAATTAATATACACTCCTCGCAAAAATTAAGGGAACATAAAAATTTTTGAAATTTTTGGGTGATTTTCAACAGGCTGTATTTCAGTGAAAAATAATCGTACAGGAAATTTAAAAAAAGGGTTTTGAAGCTTGAAAACTCTAGTTTTCAGATTTTTTGGTGAAAAAATTTTTTGAGCTCCGGTTTCCATGCAATTCTTAAACAAAGCTGAAAATATTTTTTTTTTAAATTTTCTAGGTTTCGTTTTTCATTCTATGGGCATGGAAAAATTTTTTCGAGCTACTCCATTGTATAGGTCTCTTAGCGTGTTTATTTAGCTTCAAAAATCGCTTTGGATGGCTCAATTACGACCATTTGTCTCCGAGATATCGAACTTTGAATGCAAAAGCATCCTTTTCCATTGAACTGCTAATATCTCTGGAACTACTGGTCGCACAGCAAGCGGGTGCCGAGTTTCTTTATCTGCATAAAATTTCCAATTAAGCACAGTCAAGAGTTAGTGAAGAAAAAATTTTTTTCCACCTCTAACATTGAATTGAAAAAAGTGGAAAAAAGTGACTTTTTCTCCTTTTTTGGTTACTTGGCTGTATCTTCGCTAATATGGGCGGGAAAGCTAAGGTTTGAGGAAAATTTTACAGTCTATTGTTCCTTAAAGAACCCCCTAAATCCCTGGAGCGGTCGGTTCAACGGTTTTTCCCGGACCATTGATTGAAATTTTGGAAAAAATAAGGGAACAAGGTTTTGTCCCTTAAACTCACCCTAATCCATTCAAAAATCAATAATTTCATTTGTTTTTCACTTTTTATTAAATTTTTTGTTTTTTAAAAATTCATTATCAAAAAAAAATCGAAAAAAATCAAGAAAATTGTATGCAGATAAAGAAACTCGGCGCCCGCTTGCTGTGCGACCAGTAGTTCCAGAGATATTAGCAGTTGAATGGAAAAGGATGCTTTTGCATTCAAAGTTCGATATCTCGGAGACAAATGGTCGTAATTGAGCCATCCAAAGCGATTTTTGAAGCTGAATAAACACGCTAAGAGACCTATACAATGGAGTAGCTCGAAAAAATTTTTCCATGCCCATAGAGTGAAAAACGAAACCTAGAAAATTTAGAAAAAATTTATTTTCAGCTTTGTTTAAGAATTGCATGGAAACCGGAGCTCAAAAAATTTTTTCACCAAAAAATCTGAAAACTAGAGTTTTCAAGCTTCAAAACCCTTTTTTTAAATTTCCTGTACGATTATTTTTCACTGAAATACAGCCTGTTGAAAATCACCCAAAAATTTCAAAAATTTTTATGTTCCCTTAATTTTTGCGAGGAGTGTATATATATATATATATAAAAAAACATATATGTACGAATTTTGCAAAAAAACGATACATATCATACAGTTTTTCTATTGATTAGCAGAATTGCGTCTAGTTATTTCACTAAGCTCTGTATTTTATTTCTGTAACATCTCAAATACAAATACATGTTTGCTATGTTTCTCTTTTCATACGCACAATGGCCCAAATGAGAGGCTAAGCGCGGAAAATGGAGTCTTTTTCACGTTGCTATGTTCTGATGGAACTATTTCCATGTTAACCTAATATATTTTGGATAGGTTGGAAAGTTAAAGACCATAGCTGTCATTCTTCTTATTTCCCAAAAAGCTTTTTGCAATGCGGCAAAGCGTCCCAGGCTTTTTTTTATGTTTTGGAATTGAGTCAAAGTTATAATTTTTAAATAATTTCTACTGACATTGAAAAGTTTTATGGCGAAGGAAGCATGTTTTCATCTTCGTCATTGCTAATGTTGGGACCATTTGGAGTTGGGTGCAGATTGCTGTGCTGCAGTAGATGAGTAACCAATGATGAATCTGAACATTATGGCATTCTCTTTTTCGAAGAAATACCCTGCCTTTTCCAAATACATGGGTTGTTTGTTAGGCAGAAAATACAATCAGTTATGTGGTTAATCGATTTTTGCCACTGCATTGCCTGAAAAATGTAATGATGTTTTTTTGCCACTCAGCTAGTTTTTAAAACCTGTAGCACAGGGATTACAGCAGAAATATGGAGCTCAGCTCTTATCCTGTTGTTTTATATTTTCCTTGAAATAGAAAGGATAGGCTTTTTTTTATTGTAAGGGATATAAAACACTTGTTTACTATATCACTTCACTTAAATCTAACAAAAATTGTCAGGATTATTCACATATTTTCAAGACATTTTGCTATAATATTTTTTCATTTTTATCCCTTTTTTCTGTTAGTAATACAAAATTGAACACTAAAATACAACATTTTTGACATTTGATGTTAACTAATTAAGCAAATATTAACATTATTAAGTTCAATCAGGGTAGAATCAATAAAAAATGTCAAATGTGGGGAAAAATTAAACTAATAAATAACTTTTACCTTCCAACTTGTAATTAGTATGGCCACACGAGCAGAAACGAGTTGAAATTATGTATTTATGGAATACTTTTCTATTGTAGACCAGTGTAATTAACCAAGATGATTTCCAGGGGGAATTGCGTGGAGGCCGACCTGAAAGAATATATTGCTAGCAATGGGGATTCTAATCCCCCTTTTCTAACTCTTTACCTTCGTAATACTTGGCTTTGCTAACATAGAACATATATATTCCATGTATTATTGTAGGATATGGCATTGATATTTAAGAACAAAGAGGAATAATCTATTTGTATAAATAACTCCATTCAACTTTTTAAGCGGGTTGTGATTAACTTGCAACTAAATGTATTTAGCTACAACCTGAAAAATAAGATGTTGCTGATGTCAACATTATTTATACATATTTACAATTTAAAAAAATCTGTAATTCAGGAATAAAGGCTATTTTTATTTTTATTTTATTTATTTAAATGTATATAGCTACTGCCACAAATATAATAGTATTTTATTATATATGTTTTATTATATATATTTTTTTTCAGGATTATGCAATAAATCTGGCAAAACAAATGAAACCTCTTCAACAAGCTAAACGGAAAACGGTGGGCAAATATTTGGACCCTCAAATGTTAGATTACATGACTGACGAACAGCTGGTACAATTGTATGAATTGCATAAAGCTGCATCAGAACCTAGCGATGAGTCTGGCGACGTGCTAAATGTTGAAGAGAAAGAACATAATGCTGACAGTAAAAATAAGTAAAATTCTTATATTGGGACTGTAAATTCACTGTCCACTGCTGACCATAGGCCTCTCCTATAGACAATTTTTTTAATGGGTATAATTGAAATGGTAACCCCGCCTGCGCTATTGGTATACGCTGGCGGGGTACCAGTAAGAGGTGATAGGTGAAGATGAAAGCAGGTCAGGTCAAGTCAACCCATCGTGTAGAATTCCGTAAGAATTAACCATGTCGGCTTCCAGGGGGATCCGCGTGGAGGTCGACCTGATAGGGTGTATTGCTAGCAATGGGACTGTTAGATCCCATTCCTAACAATCCCTTCCTCCCTCCCTATAGATTGCCAGAAGGAACAGTCCTAAGCTACGCGCATTTATTGACTGCTTGTAATAACCTTTGTGGTTGTCACTCAATTAAGTAAAGATCGTTTTAAATAATAATGAACAAACGTTTAGTAATAAAGTTAAACAACCTAGCTCCTTAATTGACATAAATGTTTCGTGAAACAAAATGTTCTATGTATACATGGCGTTTAGAAAATATATACTTAATAGGATAATTTTTTTTTCTCCATTATTTACTTTTATCAATGTTATTTTGTTCACGAATTATGATACAAATGGAAAATATTGCGAATATTTTAAATTCTGTGATGCGAATTATTTTATATGTACATAAATGTAATCTTTATTCTTGAATATTTAGGTAATTGTTCTTATATTTTTATTTATTTGATTTTAGTTGTAAGATTATTATTTATTTGGAATTGACATATTATTTATTGTTTCATATCAATAAGTAAGTTGAATAATGAATGTTATTTATTAGTAAGTGGGTCGGTTCTGATGCAATATTTCTTTATAATTATCTCTAATAATGTGATGTCGCAGGGAAATCTTCATTGCAATGACCAATATGAACTAATTGTCTAATATATAGATGTATTAGACAATTGTTATTTTAAATTATATCTATATATAGTAAAATATAATTTTAATTTTTGCTTAGTAATTTTGGGAAACATTAGATTTGTAAGTGGAGAGATAATTTTTGAGAAGTTATTTCTCAGAATTGGCCCTAGTGTCTGTAAATGTCTACATGAATGTAGCTGGCTTAAAACAACAATAAAAACAAATTCTATTTGATAACATGTTTATTTTTTAGATACAAAAATATAAATTCCTTCTGTTTTATACTAAGATATAGATAGCTATAAAGTTTTAACAAAAAATTTAAGATAATAGTGAGTAATAATAACAAAAAGTAAAGTATGAAAAACAAAATATCATAACTCGATAATAAAATCACACTAACTGGATTTACACAGTCACTAGCAAATCATAGAAAATATGACTATGATTCTTGTCGAATCCTTTATACTATCAATCAATAAATCCTTTATACAATCAATATACAAAACATGTAGATATAGCAAATGGTACCGACTGGGTACTAGTAGTATACTCGAATCGATTTACTGATTTTATATCGATTTACTGATTGTATTGATATTTTTAATGCTCAAATAATCGTCAATAATTATATATTTTAAAAATATTTTTAAAACAATGTTTGTGTCTGACATTTTTTTAAATTTCTTGATTTAACATTATTTTTGTGTTTTACAATTTTCATTTACCCAATAATTTGTTTACATAAAATGTGTAATTAGTTGTTGATAGTATATATATTGATATACATATGTATATCAAGTGAAGGAGATACACTCGTAAATTTATTCTGTACTAGGTTTTGCCCGCAACTTCATACGCGTGGGTTTCAGAAGTAAGAAAGCCAACGAAACAGATCACAGATACAGATATTCTAGATGGCGTATCAATATAAAAATTATATCAGTTTTTAAGTAAGTTCTTCAGAAATAAAACTGTGCAAATCGTATACAGTTTTGTGCAATAATTGTTACGTGATACCGGAACAAACATACAGATAGACACAAAATTAAAAAAAATATTTATTTCATTTCTTTTACTATTATTATGACCTCTCACATATTCTTTTTTAATCATCTCACATGTACAGACATCGTCAACTTATAATTGTATTATATTAGTAGGATTACACGCAGAATAGAGCATGTATGTATGTAGTATTATTATATAATAACAATACTACATACACGTAAAACAAATTGCATTGTTCAAACTGTGAAATAGCAACTATAGGTTAACAGGCAAACATAAATGGTTACCATGACCAATTTTATAATTTACCATTAAATCATCTCGATGTCTCGATGAAATCTGCAAATATAACAATTTTTTTTAAATATATATATATATATATATAGTAACGTAGCGCCAAATTATCAAGCTGTTCATGTCATGATGTCATTGACAGAACTAAAGCACTAAAGATACATTAAATTTGTATATATTGCTTTCTCGTTCTATCGTGAAGATAAAATAGTGCCGTGCCGTGCTATGGTAAATTATAAAAGTGTTCCTTATAAACGTCATAATTTCATAGTCCTATTTTGTAATGTACACAGTTCAGTACAGTGCAGTACGTTTCGTAATATTGATTGACATTGATTGATAGAAAAAAAATAAATCTGTATTTTTTTTAGTGACTAAAACTTATAACTTCTTTTATGGATAGGGTAAAGTCAAGGCTAAGTGAAGAATATTATAATATAGATTTTAAGGTATATAATTAATCCTAGGTTTTATTTTTACCCATATTATAATATCATTGACTGAGTTTTGACCTTAGCCTGTTCTCTTGATCGATTATTCTGTACCATAGATAAAGTCAATTCTGTGACTACAAAATGTTATATAAAATATAGAAAAAAGTAAATGGTAAAAAAAATAATTAATTCTTAAAGAATATTATAAAGAGAAAAGCAATAGAATGACTCGGTGGATTATCATTATTAAACAAAAACAAAAAAAGTAATACACTATATGTTTATCTATTCAGTTATAGTGAGATCGTTGCATGCACTTCGTAATTATAAACTACCTACTTACAGCCTAAGGTTCCGCCATTGAATTCTCATTGGCATATGTAAGATTATTTGCCAATGAGGACAAAATTTAAAGGGGAAATAATCTTAAATACAATGTATAAACTTAAATAATGATGAGCCAAAAAATAATTCAAAACGGTTGCCAGTTCTCAGTTAGTCGCAACTTATAATTGCCAGATGAAAATAGGCAAAATTCTGATATATCCTATACTACAACATAGGGTTTAAAAAAATTACCGTAAATAATGTTTGCATCTGGCAACATGGTTGTAGCTGAGAGCAAGTATCCCGGCTGCATTGTATTACATTTTCGCTCATCTTTCATTTAAAAGTTTTATACATGCAGAATTCAGCGGCGGCATCTTGTATTACAATTAAATGCATCGACTATTTATTTAACTTAAAGAAATTTGCTCAGTACTTATTAAATTTTACTATACTATACATATAAATATAGTCACTTTATTTCGAAATGTCACTGGACGGTAGTTTCTATTTATGTTAAGTGTAGTCATCTCTTAAACTAGTAAATTATAGTGCACTCTTAGGTTGCGCTCACAGGGCACAGTTAGTTTGGAACTGTTTTTCACTATTTGAGTTTGTTACTCAAATATTTATAAATCTTTTTAATTGTTCTTTAGTGGATCACATGTTCTTGTTTCCCCTTCGCCGTTAACACATGAATGTGTATTTCAGCCACTGAAATGTAATATTATTATTATTTGTAGGTTTTTTCAATTGCTTTCAAAAATAATGTGGTCTCATAACTCCGTCAGTTGTAAATCAATTTGGAAAATTATTTTTTTCGTATGAAAGGATATGTATGTTATATACAGTGAGTGTAGAAAGTATTCGTACACCTAAGGTTGTAATAAAAAAAATACGAATTTGATAGACTTTCTTTTATTTATCTAATTTAAATTAATACTATTAAATATTTTAACATTCCCGCACTTTGTTTATGATAATTTTTGTTTTTTAATAAAAAAAATTATACAACATAAAAATATTTTTACGTTAACTAAGCAAATAATGACAAACAAAAAGTATTCGTACACTTATAAAATTTGTAAGTAAATGAATATTAAAAAAATATTAATACTTTGTTGGACCACCGTTAACATTGATGATAGCTTGGAGTCTCTGCGGCATCGAATCAACTAGTTTGAAAATATAAGAAGACGGTATTAATGCCCATTCTTCGCGAAGCGCAATTTTTAGTGTTTCTTTACTCGAAATTGGTCGATTTCGAATTTTATTATCGAGATAATCCCACACATGCTCTATAATATTAATATCAGGTGATTGAGGAGGAATCTCTAGGTATTTTAAAGCGTTAAACAGGATCCATGCTTTAGTACTCCATGCTTTATGTTTAGGGTCATTATCTTGTAAAAATATCCAATTATTGTTAAAACCCATTTGAGCTGCACTAGAGAGACGATTCTCTTTTAAAATATTAATATACGCTTTGTGATCCCTAATTCCATCAATAAATGCAAGTTTTCCCACCCCAAAAACACTCATGCAACCCCATACAAATACTGACCCACCACCGTGTTTTACCGTTGGACATAAATTTTCTTTCTTATATTCCATATTAGGTTTTCTCCATACCATATGATGCCCATCCGATTTGAAAATATTATATTTCGATTCATCTGAGTAAATAACAGTTTGCCAAAAATGATTTTTTCATTAATATATTTTTTTGCGAATTCTAATCTTTTTTTCTATTAATATCATTTACCCAATACTTTTTACGCGCAGTTCTTCCATGATAATCGTTACTACGTAATACGTTCCGAACGGTACTGACAGAAATATGGCAATCATTGATATTATTAATTTCTTGTAACACTCGAGGGGCACTAATTTTTGGATTTTTTTTTTACACAATTTAAAATTTTCCGATCCAATCGAGGCGTGATTTTTGATGGACGCCCCACCTCTGGGTTTGTTTTTTAGTGTTTTAGTAATAGAAAACCGATCAATTACAGTCTGTACGGTTGAACGTGGTCTATTGACAAATTTTGCAATTTCATATAATGATTTGCATTGATTATGCAAATTAATAATTATTTTTCTCTCCTCTTCACTCGTTTCTTTTGCTTTACGACCCATTTTTGTAACTAAACACGTCTATACTTGTCACGAGTGCAACTAAAACGTCTAATATCTATACCTACGTATTAAAAATGACCTTGGCATTGTAGGCATATGAAAAATTCGATTGAATAAATGATTTATACAGAATTTCATTTAAAAAAGCATGAATGTACGAATACTTTTTGTTTGTCATTATTTGCTTAGTTAACATAAAAATATTTTTAAGTTGTATAATTTTTTTTTAAAAAAACAATAATTATCATAAACAAAGTGCGGGAATGTTAAACTATTTAACAGTATTGATTTAAGTTAAATAAATAGAGGAAAGTCTATCAAATTCGTATTTTTTTTATTATAACCCTAGGTGTACGAATACTTTTTACACTCACTGTATATGTATGTTTCGTATGAAATCTTATCAAAATCCGTTCAGTTTTTAAATAAAAATAACTGGTTTTGTCACAATTAACGTCTGTTTTTTTTAAACAATTTAATTATTTTATAATACATTTGTAGGCTACCAACCTCTTTCAAACCTACATAGTTACAGAAAAATAAATAGTGACGTTCTTGACAATCATATTGTCTTAGCAATTTTACCGAACAATATTTTGTATCGCTACTTATTATATTTGGAATTATTTACTGTAAATATTATTAATTATACAATCTCGTATTAAATCTTTCTTTCTCTCACTCCTTCTGAATCCATATATAAATATCATCAAGCCCACATCTATGGTACACCTCTACACATGGGTCAAGGAGTTGCGGCTCATCTGGTGGTAACTACCGCCGCCTAGGTGGGTATAGTGGGTACAGGATCGAAGACAATATAAGTAGTACTCTGTCTATATTGTTCTTTTTTTTTTTAAATTACGTTATATTAGTAAACAATGTTGTTGTGCATTTTTACCTAACAGTAGGTACATAAATGGAATACATATTTAAGTAAAGGAAAACAATATAGTCACCCTTGTATTATCCAATATGCATTTTAGACCAAATCTTATTTGAGGAAGGAGTCAAGAGTCTCAGAAGCAGGCCTGTATGTTTGCGTCGATTAATGAAAGTGAATAAAGCTGGAAATGTATGTAAAATCAAGAAAATATACAGTTAAATACAGAACCCCTCCTTACGAAGTTGGTTAAAAAGCGTTCTTTTGCACTTTGTTCTCTCTGTCTACTTTGCATATCGGATATCATGCGTGCATAATGGGTGTCACAGTATATACTGTGAGTTCCGTGGTGGTGGTGGTATAGGCGATATGATTTTCCGTCAGGTGGGTCGTCAGGTTGTCATTTTAATTGGAAAAAAAAGATGGTGGCCTAATGATTGTTACTAAGTAGAATAAAGTTAATGTTATGATATTTGCAATTTTAAATAAACATACCTCGGATAGATCTAATTTCATTTTCCCTTTGTAGGAGGTTTCATCGTTTGAGTAAAATAATCCTGAAAAATAAAATATCTGATAATGGAACGGTTATTAATCGGTGGCAACCTCGGAATTATCTGTCAGACTCCAAAAACCAATTGAACAATTTTAATATTTCCAAGTTGGCTGTGTGGTTCCGGCATAGAATAAGCTACCCCTTCCTTTCCCGTCGGCATCGTAAGAGGCGACTAAGGGAGGGCGAGAGATGGGCAACAGTGTCCCTCTTTAAATATCACCAAAGCTTAACTGCGGTTGCCAATCCGCCTGCCAAGTGTGGCAACTACTGGCAAAACCTCCCAAGGAGGAAGCTTATGTTCAACAGTGGACAGTTAAAGGCTGATATGACGATAGATGAATATTTCCAAGTAATAGTCATTAGTAGTTGCTGAGATATAGCTCTGTGACAGACGGACAGACGGACGGTTGAAGTCGTACCATAACGGTTTCTTTTATATAATTTTGGTACGAAAGCCTAACAATACGAATAATTTTAACATTCTGAAACTCAATTTGATGATTCCAAACATGATACCAAATATGAATATACCAAAGTGATCATTATAGATCATATTTCGATGTTCAAATATGCACTGCCAAAATGTACATAATACTTACTAAAGGCGCGATGAAGGTGCATCACTGCGGAAACGAAATCCCCGAACCTCAGCATCCCGTCTTTTCTCATGTACCTGAGGACAAGTAATGCTAGTATCTGTTCAGGTACCACGAAGCCCACTTCGTGTAATGCATCTCGTAGTCTTTCCACTCTCAATACTCCCATCTTTTCCTTGGTATGTGTCCTGAATACCGTCTGCCAATCTCTTAGGCTGAAAATGAAGTCTCTGAATTGCGCGAGTGACAATCGACCAGTGCAATTCTGCTGTTAGATCAAGTTAAGGCATTTTTAATGGCGATTTGTAACGTACTTAGTGATTAAGAACGAAACGAAGGGAAAGCGACGCATTGCTTTATTTAGATAATAATTTTAAAATGTAGAATAGATTGCATGCAGACAAAATGGCAGTATAACCATAATATCCATAATAACTATATCGATAGTCATGTTTGTTGAGGAAGTTAAAAAATTAACCAGGTCCATTTAGAAAAGTGCACTCTTAAATTTTAATATAAAGGGAGAAAGATATATTTATTTAACAAAGTATGTTTGAATTAGCACAGACTATCATTGATTCTACACTAGACTGAGCCTGTCCTGTAGAAAACAGGATAGTCGTATATAATATAATTACTAGACGTGTAGGTCCTGGCGTAGAATAGGCCATCCTTTCTTTTCCCGTGGGTGTCGTAAGAGGCGGCTTAGGGAGATTATGGTAGAGGAATGGGTAGTAGCATCCCTTTAAAATTATTACCAAAAGCCAAATGGTGGTTGTCAACACCTTGCGTGACAACTACTGGTAAAATACTTCCTTACGGGAGAGGCTATATTCAGCAGTGGGCAGTTTTTTTTAATGGGTGAGAATGGTATGGTAACCCCGCCTGCGCTAACGGTATACGCTGGCGGAGCACCAGTGAAGGGTGATAGATGAGAATGAAAACAGGCCAGTTAGCCCATCATGAATTATTTCATCAGGAATTAACCATGATAGTTTCCAGGGGGAACCGCGAGGAGGTCGACCTGGTTGGGTATATTGCTAGCAATGGGATTCTCAGTCTCCATTACTAACAATCCCTTTCCCCCAGCAGTGGGCAGTTAATGGCTGATACAATACAGTACTCCTAAATTAGCTTAGATTTCATAATAGTAGGGGGATCAAGCAATTATTATTGTAAATATTTTTTTGTCATTGAGGAACAAGAAGTTTCGAATTTACGTTTTGAAAAAGATATATCGGGTTCACTTATCGAAAAGGTCTGTTAAAAACGCTCCTGATGTCGATAAAAAGATTATACGATATTTCATCTTTGAGCTTGGTATTAAATACATAATATAAGTTAGGTTACATTTTCATTTATAGAAATTAATAAAGGATACGTCTATTGACAGCACAATCTGCCTGCAAGTATCCAATGTTGCACAACTCTTAATATAGTCATTTGGTAAGCACGCCTCCAGCAGCTCTTGCAATGCGTAGACATCGATTGTCTTGTGCTCATCGGCCAACTGCAGGAATAGGGGTTCGTATTGTACAAAGCCTGTGGTTTCCAGCCCGGGGAGTGGGCAATTCCAGATGGGCTTCGTCATCTGAGGCTCATAATCCAGAACCATCATATCCAACAGTCCATTCGAGAAAACTCTTAAGGAGAACTCCGCTTCTTCCCTGGGCACATACGTCGTTGGAACCACTATGTAAGTTCCCGCTTCCAGTTCACACCTGAAAGAAGATCACATCAGAGTGTGCGGTAGACTTTGGACTTTATTTCGCCAGGCAATAGAGGTCTATTATTATTTTTTATTTCATTAAATACAAAAAACCACAGCTCTCTTACATTATTATGTACATGCTGAGTCTCTTATAAATACACACATCCAGTAAAGGATTTTAATTTTAGAAACGAAAATTATAAATCTAAATTATGTAAGGTAAGTTAGTGTATGTGTGTGTGTGTGTGTGTGTGTGTGTGTGTGTGTGTGTGTGTGTGTGTGTGTGTGTGTGTGTGTGTGTGTGTGTGTGTGTGTGTGTGTGTGTGTGTGTGTGTGTGTGTGTGTGTATGTGTGTGTGAAAGATAAAATAACAGTTCGCTGAGCAATATTCTGAAGGTACCTGTGGCTCACTTGGCGACTATTTGTGTACTGCGAGTTTATCGTGCTCTTGATTCCTTTGAAGAAAGACTGCGAAGCTGGCTCCGTGAGGTACGTCGGTATCTTATATATGCTGAACCCAATCACCTTCGGTTCCATTATACTGTGCTGGTTGAGTGCAACAATCACTGTTGCCGATTCCATCAATATAAGTTGTATTTGGGGGTTCATATGAAAGAAATCTGAAAGAAAACCTTACTATATCAATGTTGGCGCACTTAGGGTATTATTATTTTTATAAAAAAAGAACAGACGGGTAATATTTAAGTATTTTTTTATGTTTATGGGGTCCTTTAAAATGCGGATAAGAAGATTTCTTTAGAATTGGCAATGCATATGTGACACCCCTAATGTTGCTGGCATCCTTAGGCTACAGTGAGCGTTTACTATCAGACGGGCTGTATACTTATTTGCAGCCTTTGTAGTATAAAAAAAAATTGAAAATTCTCGAATTAAATTGTTCATATTACAATGATACAGTGTGCGAATAGATATATATAAAGACCGTTGATATTCTGTTAATATTCTATAAGGATTATGTAGACAGATGGTTGATTTCTTTTTTTAATGTTATCATGTTGCATCGGCGATTCTTATACCTCAAGTTATTCTTAAGCAATATTTCTGATAATTAGAACATTATTTATAAACTAGCTATATCATATATGTAACAGTATATGATGAACGTACCTAGTTTAAATATGTATAAAAGGAACGCATCTCAATTGACAGATGACATTAGTTGACATGTATGTACTAGGAAATTTTTCCGGTTGGTTTCTCACCTTCGTTCGCGCTCTTTGAAGTTAATAAATATATCTTTGCAATTGAATAAGTTTTATTTAAATATAACAATATACTTAGAGTATAGTTAGTTAGGATATAACCTATTCGTGTACCAAATTTCGTTCGAATCCGTTCTGTAGTTATCACGTGAAAGAGTAACAAACATCCATTTGTTCCGATTACTTACTACCATTATTTCTGCAGCCTCCTGCGGTAACTCCTCGTCTCCAGCTGCCTTGATACATTTCTACGTGCCATGCTTCTTTTTCAGTCAGCGAGCTCTCGAGTCTAGCGGTCTCTGCGTCGAAGTGTACAATTTCAAGCTGCGTGAACACCTGCTTAAAATCTTTAAACAACATCCACATGCCTCTAGTGTCAGATAGTAGACGTTCGCGTTCGTATGATGGTATCCCCTTCCATCTGTAATCAGATTAGATTTTTTAATTAAACTTATTATTAAAGTGTTGTGCAAACGTGGGACATTTTGTACGTACGCGAACAGTTTAAATTTATGTAATAATTTAGTACAAGTGATTTCAAAATTACAAATACACAGTACACTGGACTGTATCTCGTGTCAATAAAAATTATAATGAACTAGCCATCTATTCGAAGTATTTCAAAATAGTGATTCATATACAAAATTACCCATTTTAATTTTTCAACAGATATTTTGACAACTGACAGCGAATAAAATAAAAAGAAAAAATATTCGAATCAGTCACGCCATTTTTAAGTTTCAGCGATATTAACGAACAGCGATTCATATAATATATATAATATGGTCTCAAACTAGGATATCCTGTGTTATGGAACCAGGTAGTGAAAATCTGGGGATACCACCAGATCCAATTAAAGAAATTCTAAATTACCTCGATTAGGAATAGAATCCGGGATCTCATTTACGCATAGCAACATGTTTACTATTGCGTCATAGAGGTTAAATTTTTTTTTTTATTTATAGTTTGTAAACTCGGTAAACAATATGTAAGTACTTATAAAGATTACTCACACTGTACTGTCAACTAGATGCAAAATTTTAGTTGAACCTGACTTCAATGGTCTATTTATCAACACCAAGTGATGTGGTCCATCCACTCCGTGTACCTGAAACATGAAATTGATTCTAGTTAAAAATCAAATTAATTAAGTAAATATCATCGTTAGATCAGCCGTTAACTGTCCACTGTTAAACATTGTTTGCTATATTATTTACTTTACTTTTTATAAATTTTCTACGTATTTTAATTTTCATGTTTTTTTTTTGTATGTTTTGATTGTTATATTTTTATGTTATCCGAACACTTTATGGGTTAAGTACCTCATAATAAAGATTATTATTATCATTATTATTATTATATGTCTCCCTCTTGGAGGCTTTTGTCGTAGTTGCCATGCTTGGCAAGTGGGTTGGCAATCATACTGATTATTATACTTTTTACTTATTAATATATTGTTTTTAATATAAATTAATAATAATAATAAATATAAAATAATTATAAATATATTATTTTTAATTAGATAAAGATCTCCCTCTCTTATAACTGGAACATTCTAGAACATTTCAAGTCCACGATTTACATTGTATAGATGTATTAAAGTTCAATAAATAACATTTATATTATATGGCGTCTCACCTTTTCTACACGGTAAATTCTATAGTTCATCTCTGGTTGTAGTGCAGGTTTTGAAGGGCAACGGGCCTGTAACGGATATAGGCTAGCTTTAAAATCTCAGACAGGATATTTTAGAGTTATACATTCCTTAAGAAATACCTTTACATGTTGTATTACGGCGCAAGGAGAAAGGTATACTAGTCTGTTTCAACAAAATGGTAATGTTATCAAGTTTTGGTAAAATTATAAAAGAAACACTCGAAGTGAAATTAGTAAGAAATCTAATGTTTTTAACAATCAATCGAAAAAGAGAGATATAAAGACAAAAAGGCAGAAAGAAAAAGAGAGAGAGAGAGAAAGAAAGAAAGAGTGAGGGGGAGAAAAGGAAAAAGAAATAAGAATTTTATTTAATTGGTTGTTTCTTTGCATTCTTATCAGATTTTATGGAAATATATTATAGGTAGAAATGACACTCTTGTTAATTTAATAACATAACAAATTAAAAAAAAAATCATTTATGAAAAAGTATTGAAGTATATGTATTACATTTAATGCCCTCATGTTTTTTATGATAACTTTTTCCTATTTTATTATCTAAGTTATTTTACTATTTTTGCATTTTTATTTTATAGAAATATATTAAATATGGCAACCTAGAAAATGTATTTAGGTCAATCCAAAATGTAGGGCCCAATTTTACTGTCAAACTTCCTAAGTGTCAATTATTGGCGCTTAGTTAGGAACTAGATGGCGCTGGTATACCCGGGTCTTTGTTGCGCGATCGTAATATTAAGCTTGACCGGAATAAAAACTAGGCTATCTCTTTCTCTGTCTTATATACTAGGTACTTATTTGTAGAATAAATTCCATTCTTTTCATAAAGTTTTACGTTTATAATAGTTTTTATATTAGTTTATAGTATTTAAGTTATTCAATACTAAACCCTAGGGTTCTGAAGTTCTAAATCTACGACATTACATTAATTTGCTTTCTTATAAACATTTGGATCTCTTAGCAAGATTCACCTCAGGAAGATACACTGCTGTGACAAGGCTGCTGCCTTTGAGGATTTCTTCGAGGGTGGAGACGTCGTTGACATCCGAGAGGCTCTCTGTGATGCCGCCAGTCAAGTGCGCTAGTCCATCCAGCAGGTTTCCATACTTGAGTGCCTCATATGAGCCGTGCAACCTGAACATCATGGTATTTAATGTATTAACCGATTGGGGGAGGGGGGAAGAGATTGTTAGTGATGGGGAGTTTAGTCTCCATTCACAGGGACACTACAGTCTATATATATATATATATATATATATATATATATATATGTATATGTATATTTTTTTTATGCAACTTAGAATGGCAAACAAGCTGACGGCCCACCTGATGGAAAGTGGTAACCGTCGCCTATAGACATGAGCAGTGCCATGGACATAACAGAGTATACTGTTTCGCCCATGATACCCCCCATGCGTTGCCATTCCTGAGGACTAAGGTGTTATTCCTCTGTACCCTGTAAATTCACGCCATATCCCACCCTTCAAACCGAAACACAGCCATGCAAACACAACTGCTTCACGGTAGAAACATGAATGGGACAGAGGTACCCAAGCAATCGACTTTTGTACAAAGTCTCCCTCTGGTATATGTATATGTATGTATAGATTGTCAGGTCGATTTCCACATGGTTCCCTTGAACATGATCCCCAACAATCCCCACATGATATACATATACAACGATCTGTATTCATGAATGTATTTATATCTATCGTCACCATCATCTCAGACATTATCTATCCACTGCTGAACATAGGCCTCCCCCCATACACTGACATAAGGAACAGTCCTAAATCACTTGCATCCACTGTCTTCCTGCAATGCATTTAAGGTCGTCACTCCACCTAGTGGAGGGTCATACTGCATTTGCCCGTACGCAGTCGCCATTTAGAAATCTTTCTTCTCCGGTTGTCGGTTCTTCGAGCTATGTGACCAGCCCATCGCCACTTTCGTTTGCTTATCCTTCGGGCTATGTTGGTCACTTTGGTTCTTTTGTAGATATCCTCATTTCGGATCCCGTCCTGCAAAGAACTCCTGAGTTCGTTGAATCATTTGAAGGTTTAGCAAACGGGCAACTTTGCAGGACCGTATTCGTATTGGTTTAGGTATTTCTATCTGCAGCTAGTACCTATTAGTATTTAGTCTCAAACACATTAAAAAAGACGCATATGTACTCTTAAACATGTCTTTACCTATAGTTGATAGCTCCACTTCTTATTTTGGGGTGGGCCCCGTCATAAGTACACCTGTATATCTGTCATTTTTCACTAGTACCCGCCAGCGTAAACTGATAACCTATTTGGGGTTATTTCATTACCATTTCATTTTAAATAATTAAAATAAATAAATGTATAATATAAATAAATGAATAATTTCACTCACTTAGCGTAGGCCTTCTCTAGTAAAGCGGGCCAGACTTGCGGCGTTTGCATCGACTGTAGAAACACGAGACGACCATTAATAGTTGGCAACTTATCGTCCACCAAAACTTCTCTCCATTGTCCGCACCACCAAATATTGAACCTGGCAAAAACACTAGTCGTGACAAAATGCACCAAACAGCGAATAAGAGGTTTATGTTATGCTTGATTTATGTAGGCACAATACTGCAAATACAATTCAAAATTTTTGATTTAATCTATAACCCGCAGGTATTATTCTTAATCTACGTTTATGGCCTATTAAATTAAAAAAGAATTTAGTTTACTCAATCGTATTTGCCGCGCTAAGAAAAACGGCAATTTACTGTTCAAATTTTAAAAGTTTAGAAAACTTTATTTCGGTATAGATTTCGACTCTTATATTTTCAATAATTAAAAAAAAAAATAGAATAATGTTAGTGAAATGATAGGGTTCGTAGTATAATGTCACGGTCCTCAGAAATGGTAATACCTGAAGGATACCATGAGTGTCATAGTACATTTTGCGATGTTCATAGTACTATTCATATCTATAGATGACAGTTGTCGCTTTCCTACAAGTGAGCTGTTAACTTGTTGTTATTTTAAGTATCATAAAAAATAAAATAAAGTAGAACTAGTATTCATAAATTGATTTCATATTTAAAGAGTTTACTTCGCTCGATTCTCAGTTACTACCTAGTGCCTAAGCGAAATAAGTATAGTAAAAATGGTATAGTATTTTTTTTTGTTTTGTATTAAACTATTGTTACATATATACAATACTTATCTAGGAGTGACCATTAATTTGAAATGAAATAAAGTAGCTATGACGAAATTGACTTCCTTTCACCAAATTGTCAATCGTAACCTATCAGTATTCATAGAATACTTAGGCACTCATTTGTATGTAGGTATATAGTTAACCTTGAGATCCTCTCACCTGGCAAATGTGTAGGTAGTTTATTAAATGTACTTTGCTTAACTAAAAGAATGTATTTTTTTTTTACGAAACGTGAAATGAATAAACAAGCTGACTGTCTACCTCATGATAACCATCATCTGTGTACATAAACAGCTCCATGGGCATCATATTACACTCATGGTATTCTTCTAGCATTGTTATTTGCAATTCACATGAACTTTAAATGTTTTGCCTTCTTACCCTGTAATTTCACTGTCATGTTGACATCCTTTAAACCAAAACAAGATCACGTGCAGATATTTGATGGCAGAAACACGAGTGGGACAGACATACCCACCTCCACCATATTGTAGTCTGTATTTAGTGGTTGCCTTGTACAAGGTCTCATTAAATCAAATATAGATATATGTACAATAAATATAACACATTAAGAAACCGTTACGGCTTGACACCTTTTTTTTTTTAAATAAAACAATCCAAGTTACACGTTGACAATGTGACTTTCTACAGATGAAAGAGTTTTTAAAATCAGTTATATATTTTTTGAGTTTATCCATTACTAACAAAAAGTGGGATTGTTAGTAATGGTGTCTAAAAGCCACATGCAATAGCAATGTATCAGATTGTCATCCACACGGTTCCTCCTGGAAATCATTTTAGTTAATCCTTGTTGAGTTCATCACGCTGCGCCATCTGACCTGCTTACATCCTCATCACGCCAGCGTATACCGATAGCGTAAGCGGTGGTACAGTTTTATTTTTACTCAATAAAAATACCCACCTGAATATCCCGGAATAGTCTGTATCAAATTGTTGATCTACAGGCACCACTTTCTGGAAGAGTCCTTTCGCCAGGTACAGCATACTGACACACGATACCAGCCATTTGTCTCCTGGAATCAAGGTCTTGGGTGAACGAGCTAGGTATCATTGAACTTTTAACAAGATCCCCTTGACATATTCTACTTTTATTCTTATTCTTTATAAATCATTCATCATTATTATCATTTCAGCCATTATCTGTCCGCTACTAAACAAAAGCCTCCCATAGACTGCCATAAAGAACGCTACCGTTCCTTAATTTTTTTTTTATACAACTTAGAATGGCAAACAAGCTGACGAAAACTTTAATTTTTAGGTAAGAATTTACAGAAATAACAGAAACTTTTTTTTTATACAACTGGATGGCAACACGAGCTGACGGCCCACCTGATGGAAAGTGGTAACCGTCGCCTTTAGACATGAGCAGTGCCATGGACATAACAGAGTATACTGTTTCGCCCATGATACCCCCATGCGTTGCCATTGGGGAGATTTTGCCAGTAGTTGTCACGCTTGGCAGGCAGTTTAGCTTTGATGTTTTAATAGGAACGCTTCTGCCCATCCCTTGACTAATAAGTTCCTTTAGTCTCCTCTTACGACGACGGAAAAGGATGGCGTGACCTATTCTATGCTGGCATCACTCGGCAATGGATATCATTGGCAGGGCTGAATATTTTATTACATAATAATCTTTCAACCGTAGTAACATAATTGTAATATTATACACGAGTTTGACAAACAATTACAAACATTCAAAAACAACTACAACTTTTTTAGTCGTTTTTGACTGGTATTTATTTAAAAAAAATCAATTTCGCTGGTAGAAAGCGAAGTAGTACTTTACTATCTATTTTAAAATCATCAACCATCAATTGCTTTAGAAATCAAGTACTCTTATATCTCTCTAAGAGCAAATTCAAGAGTTTCAAGAGCTGGAGATTATGCGTGAGACTACCTAGATAGACAGGATAATGTTTTTGCGTTAATAATATTTATAGAAAGAAAGAGGTTTGTTTGAATCGAAGCATTTGGCGTTCCATTGTTTCTGCCTACCCTAATGGGAGACAGGCGTGACAGATATGTATGTATGTATGTAATATTTATAAAAGATCTCCAATTGACATTGTAGCCAATTTTGAAAATACTCATATTTGTCTTTTTTTTTTTAATCATAACAATAATTCCATAAATTACTTTTATACTGAAACGATTTTTCTTGGATTATAATTGGTAAATTATTAAACAATTTTAACATACTTTTCTTGTGTAAGTCATTTAAAAATAAATCAGACAATAAAATATTTGGAATGCAACACTTTATAATGAATAAATATTTTTTAGGTGGTAGAGCCACGCTGTAATACTATATGGTATTGCAGCATGAATGGGCCGGCTCGACCGGGGAAGTACCACACCCTCACAGAATACCGACGCTAAGTGGCCGCACTTTTAGTGCGACCACATTCCGTATGGTGAGTGAGGGAGTCCGGAGGCCCATCCTATACCCATCCCCTTCCTTATCCTAAAATCCTCCCCCAACTCCGTCCCCCCATCTTTCAATACCATGGCAGTGGAATTTAAAAAAAATAACGTACCCCAGGGAGGTACCAGCAGCCATGTTGCTGGAGAATCCTCCCTCGAGCAACCACGCTCGGGCTGCCCTGCGTATTCTGGGGGGCAAAATTCCGCTCTATGGGACCAAGGGCAAACAGAGCAAGACTTCTGCGGCATCCCCTTTGCTCAATGTGAGCCTCTGTAATATTAGGGGAATTCATTCAAACCTGAACGCTGTCCACCACCACCTAGAAACGGCGCGGCCGGCATTGCTCTTCCTCACGGAGACACAGATATCCCCTCCTAACGAAACATCATACCTGACCTACCCGGGGTATAAGCTTGAACATTGTTTTGTTTCGCGTGCCGGTGTATGTGCGTATGTCAGAGAGGATATCTGCTGTCGACGCCTTGGGACTCTTGAAGGTACGGACCTGTCCATTCTATGGCTGCGCGTAGATTGCAATGACCATCCCCGCATCTATGCGTGCCTATACAGGTCCCACAGCGGTAACACTGAAACCGACCAACTAACTGAGCACGTCCAAATGGCTACAGATTCCCTGCTTGAGCAGATTCCTTCCGCTGAAGTCGTGATTGTTGGCGACTTTAATGCCCACCATGCCGAATGGCTTGGTTCGCGTACAACCGACTATGCGGGAAGATCTGTTCATGACTTTGCTTTGGCTTATGGTCTGACACAGCTTGTTTCCTCGCCTACGCGAATCCCTGATGTGTTGGACCATTCACCTTCACTGCTGGACCTTCTGCTGACCACCCACCCAGACAACTATGTGATCTCCGTCGAAGCCCCGCTTGGATCGTCGGATCACTGTTTGGTGCGGAGCGAAGTGCCTCTTACGAGTCCGACTCCACCTCGTTCTACGGGTAGACGTCGCATTTGGCACTACAGGTCGGCTGATTGGGATGAGATGCGGATTTTTTTCGCATCTTACCCATGGAGGCAGGTTTGCTTCACACTGGATGATCCCGACGCCATTGCCGATTCCATTGCTGATGTGGTGCTTCAGGGAATGGAATTATTTATTCCTAACTCTGTGGTGCCCGTCGGCGGGAAATCCCAGCCCTGGTATGGAGCCTCCTGTAGAACAGCATCTCGTCTGAAACAGGAGTGCTTCCTAACCTGGGCTAAAGGTGTGGCGTCGCGAGATCCTAACACCAGTGCTCTTAAAAAGAAGTATAACTCTGCCTCTAGGTCTTTCAAAAGAGTTATAGCCACAGCGAAGTCAGAGCATATTAGTAGAATTGGCAAGAGACTGGCTAGTTTGCCCTCTGGGACTCGAGCTTTCTGGTCTCTTGCCAAAGCTGCACAAGGGAATTTCTGTAAGTCATCCTTTCCACCTTTGCGCAGGGAGGATGACTCGTTGGCCCAGAACGCTAAAGAAAAGGCCGATCTTCTTGGATCCATCTTTGCGTCAAACTCGACATTGGATGACGGGGAGAAACCACCACCGACCATCACGTGTTGTAGGAGCTCTATGCCTGACATTAAATTCACGCATAGCTCAGTGCGTAGAGCACTTTTCTCCCTCGAAATCCATAAGTCGAGTGGGCCTGATGGTATTCCTCCAATTGTGCTTAGGACGTGCGCACCAGAGTTGGCTCCGGTTCTTACGCGTCTTTTTCGGCTTAGCTACTCATCGGGCATTGTCCCAAAGTTTTGGAAGACTGCTCTGGTGCATCCGATCCCTAAAAAGGGAGATCGCTCAGATCCAGCTAACTATAGGCCCATAGCTATCACTTCCTTATTCTCGAAGGTTATGGAATCCATCATTAACCGTCAACTGCTCCGGTACCTAGAAGAGCACCGGCTGATCTGTGATCGCCAGTATGGCTTTCGACAGGGACGTTCGGCCGGTGATCTTTTAGCTTACTTAACACACCGATGGGCAGTGGCAATCGAGAGTAAGGGAGAGGCCTTAGCAGTTAGTCTGGATATTGCGAAGGCCTTTGATCGGGTGTGGCATAGAGCGCTGCTTTCAAAGTTACCTTCATTTGGGTTGCCTGCGAGACTGTGCATTTGGGTCGCCAGTTTTCTCAAGGAACGTAGCATTAAGGTCGTAGTCGACGGTGCATGCTCTGATTTAAAACCTTTGAATGCTGGTGTCCCGCAAGGCTGTGTACTATCTCCGACTCTGTTTCTTCTGCATATCAATGATATGTTACAGATAAGTAATATTCATTGCTATGCGGACGACAGTACAGGAGATACATTATATACCGGTCATGCAAAGATCTCGCGGGCACATACCGATGAGTGCCGGAATAGACTTGTGTCTGAAATCGAAACTTCACTCCATCAAGTTTCGATCTGGGGTGAACAAAATCTTGTCCAATTTAACCCCAAAAAGACACAAGTCTGCGCGTTTACCGCAAAAAAGACGCCGTTTGTCGTATCTCCTCACTTTCAGGGCACTTCCCTTGATAAAAAGTCAAGTCTAGGAATTCTGGGCGTTGATATATCTTGCGACGTCCAGTTTTGCGGTCATCTGGAGGAGAAGGCTAAGATAGCTTCCAAAAAGTTAGGAGTGCTCAATAGGGTGAGACGATATTTCATGCCAGAACACCGCCTGAAATTATATAAAGCCCAAGTCAGGCCGCATATGGAATACTGTTCTCACCTGTGGGCAGGAGCGCCACAGTACCAACTCCTTCCGTTAGACCGCATTCAAAGTCGGGCGGCTCGAATTATCGATAGTCAACGCCTTACTGTCCGACTTGACCCATTGAAACTGCGCAGAGATGTTGCGTCTCTGTGCATCTTCTACCGAATTTATCATGGGGAGTGTTCTGAGGAATTGTTCGGATTGATACCTGCTGCTGATTTTCACCACCGTACAACCCGCCACAAACTAAAGTTTCATCCCAATCATCTGGACGAGTGGCGGTCTTCCACCGTGCGTTTTTCAAGGCACTTTCTTCCACGCACAACCATTCTTTGGAATCAACTTCCAGCAGCAGTATTTCCGAACCGATACGACAACATAACCTTCAAGAAAAGAGTATATTCCTTTTTAAAAGGCCGGCAGCACACCTGCAATGCCGCTGGTGTTGTGGGTGATCATGGGCGGCGGTAGTCACTTACCATCAGGTGAGCCGCATGCTCGTTTGCCCCCTGTGTTGTAAAAAAAAAAAAAAAAAAAAAAAAATATATCGTCATAGTCGTAGAATACTGACGGATCTATATATTTCATTTTTTTTTTTTTAATTTTATATCAATAAAAATACAAGTTACAGAATTTATATTACATTAGCATTTAGAAACCACGTAGGTTTATATTAATACTAAATACATTAAAATTATTTAAATTGTATTAAAACCATGCAAGAAGTATCGTTTTATTATTATTTGTCAGATCCGTCAGTATTCTACGACTATGATAGATAGATAGATAGATAAACACTTTATTTGATCCATTTATGACACACGTATATTAACAAATGAGTTTATACAATCAGATTATTTACACTTTTTTAAATATTTAATAAAACTATA